TTTGTTTTTCTGAATACCCTTTTCTAGTTATTATAGTTATATTTTGAGAGAACTGAAATTGTGGCATTGTTAGCATTGCTATTTCTTTAGAACAATAATATAAAAGAATAACATTATTGTTTTACAAGTAAATAATTATTTAAACTTATCTTCTACTCTAATTACTTTCAAGTTCTGCAAAACCGGATCTGTGTGCTGGTGTGTAGTTCAGGGATAGATCATCTGCTTAGCACATGGGATGCTCTAGGCTCCTCCCCAACATTGTAGGCGTCTGTATCCACACTGCATCCACATTCATCACTGGAGAGAGGAGTAGTGTGCAGAGAAGAGGAGATAGTGACTCAGGCCTTACAGTCGAAGTTACATTTGGGTTAAATGATTCAGTTGAGTTGCTCAGCTGTTTCGAGCCAGGGGTCAGCAAAGCACAGCCTGCAGGCAGGCCCATTCCTAGCCTGATTTGGCTAGTGTTTTATAAGAATACATTTATACCCATTTGTGTAAGCCTATGTCTGTTTTCATGGTGCAAAAATAGAATTGAGTAGATGCAACTGAGACCTTATAGCTTGTAATGCTGAAGTATCTCTAGTCCTTAGAAAAGACATAGTGATCACAGATTTCAACCATAAACCAGAAGGAAAGTTAATCAGCAACTGTAAGATAGTAATAGACTTACGTTGAGATGTAGTAAAGAGTGAGGCAGTATTTTTGCTGTTGTTTTTGTTGAAATGAGTTTTAAAAATAGTTGGTGAATGCCTTAGATGCTTCAGTATTTCTGAATCCAAATTTCTGTTCCTCATTTGTCTATTCCCTTGGGCTACCTCAGTGGACTGTTGGGGCCAAGAGTTCCCATTCTCTTCTGGGAGAGAATGTTTTTTTTGCTCATGCGTGTATAGGCTCTTGATTAGCACCTCCTTGAAGACTCATAATTGCATGTGATCTCAGATATGGGCTATAACTTCTAAGTAGTAGGGTGTACTGGTAGCTTCTGGCAGCCCTGTTACCTCTCCATGCCCAGTGTCCCATGACTCCCCCAGGATACCAGTGTTGACTTGTGCCTCCTTATTTGTCTCAGTTCAGAAAATGAACTGTCCATTGTTCTAAACTGACTAGAAGATTTGCCAGTGACAATTTACAGGCGGTTTCACATATGTATTAAGAACATATGAAGAACACTGAGATCAGAAAAGAAAAACTGAATTTTGCTTTTGGGTTCTTGACTGATTTTAATGTAAACATGCAAAGCATACTTCCAAGATAAGCTGATCTTAATCTATGAACTCAGCCCCAGTGGAATGAGTTGTGGTGGCTCAGGGGAAGATGAGCTTACATTTGAACCCAGTGCTGTCACTTCCTAGCAATTCAAATGAGGAAAATGGCCTAAAGTTCTGAGCTCCTGGTACTCTGGGTGTAATGATTCCTGGTCCCAGTGGCTGCTGTGACAACTGAATGTACATTTGAAGTTCCCAGCACTATGTCGGGATTGTAGGAGGGAATTTGCCGATGTGGGAGGTTACCACTCTTAACTTGTGCTTTTTTGAATTTCAAGAGTAGGAAGTGCTTGGGATCCAGTTGGCATTGCCATTAAGCCAAGCTCAAACCAGAAGCTCCAGTGACAAATAACTAGCATTAAGTAGGTTTTGGCTTGTATATATGAGACCTTACAACCACAGTCAGCAAAAAAGTATAGAGAAAATGAGCTGAAGACAACATGTAGGATCTCAGTGGGTCCCTGACATGGAGGCTTCTTTAGTTTATTTGAGTGTTAACTGTGCATTTATAGTCAGAAATCTTTGTAAACTTGTTGTTGCATTCTTAGTACTTCTTTGGAAAAATTATTTTATGATAGTATTTTTAATTGTTTTATATTTGTAGTGACATTTTTGCAGTGATCATTTTCATTTTTTAGATTTAAGTCTGTTTCAGATTGAAAAATATATATGTGGCATATATTATATATGTATATATGTGCAAATGTATATTTAGGTATTCAAAGGACACGCTGGTATGAAGGATTCTGATGTTTAGAAAGGGACACAGTGAAATCCACTAGCTCTAACACTGTGGTCCAGGTATAGATTTGGCTCTAATGGTGTTTCAGTCTTGTGAAATCGAAGTGAAACAAATCAGTTGGAAAAGTAGAAATAGGTAGTTTGTGCTAAGAACAGTTCAAGAAAGTCACATTTTATTTGAGAAAAATTTTGACCATTATGGGCAAGTATTTTAACACCATAGTATACTGAAATGTGCCTGTGCTAAAGTCCTTTCCAGGTGAGTTCATTTTATAATTGGTGTTCCATTACCACTTTCCTGCTGTATGACTATACCATCTTTGCCTTTACTCACCTTTCTGTTCTTGTGTGCAAAGTCACCTCTCTCCTCTTTTCTGTTCTGACTTTCCCCTGCTCACAGACACACAGTTACCAGTGTCCTTGAATCGTTAGCATCTGCTCATCAGTCTCACATCAGACAACAGCTGGTCAGGAGTAAACTGCAGCAGAGTGGGAGCCACGCCATGTTCTGCACGAAACTCAAGGACCTCAAGATCACAGGGGAGTGTCCTTTCTCCTTACTGGCCCCAGATCAGGTTCCTAAAGAGTCAACAGAGGACGTGGCAGGAGGCTCTAAGAGCTGCAAGGACACCCTGTCCATCTGCCAGGACGCTCCTGAGAAGAATGAACAAGGCAGTGTTCCCCGAAGGAAGACCAGTCGCAACCGCGTCTATCTGCACACTCTGGCAGAGAGCATTTGCAAACTCATCTTCCCAGAGGTGAGTAACCACCCTTGAGCAATGTTAGTGGTATTTCAAAAGGGAAAACAAAGTTCTCCTAAGGAAAATGCTTAGAAATAGATTTTTCATCCTTAAAGGGACACAAAACATAGAATGGATTCTTGAAACTGAGTTTTAGGACTAAGGAATTTCAGACAAAGTTTACTCTGTGGCCAGGAAGGGCTAGAGAAGCGGAATGACTTGACCAACATCAAACAGCTTTCGGGGAGAAAGCAATATTGCTTTCAACTCTATAGGCAGTAGTGACTGAGAAACAGGAGGCCTGAGTGAAACTTGAAAAACTTGAATAAGTAGAATTAGCAGAAAGGTGACAGTACTTATTTAAAGATGGTATTTGTACCATTTCTGCCTTAATGACTTTTGAAGCTGATGTTTTCTTTCTCTTCTGTGGTCCCAGTCATTAGACAGCCAGTAGTGCCTGGACTAAGAGATGTAGCCCTGCTCACACAGATGGCTTGCAATGCAGTCTGGGAAGCAGATAGTTCTGTTTTTCCCAGGGACGGAGCAAGACACACAGCAGCAAACAGATGATAAGCGATTGTTTCTATGATTTTTATTTGTTGATATTCTTGTTTTGTTCATGGAAAATTTTCTTTGATAACCCATATTCACTGAGAGCTTACTGAGCTCTTCTAGATTATTCTGAATTCCTTGTCAGACAGTTTATAGCTGTTCATTTCTTTGGGGTTGGTGAGTAGAGCTTTCCTTTGGTTCTCTGGTTGTGCCGTCTTCCCTTGAGTCTTTGTTTTTCTTTGCTTTGGAGTCTATGTACTGAAGAAGCAGCTGGATCTCCAGCATTTATAAACTGACTTTGATACTGGAAATACCTTCATGTTGAGCCAGCCAGAGGGTCTTGGAATTTCTGGAATATTCTATGGATGATGTATGTTTTCTTTCCCTTTTTCCTGGAATCAAGAAGCCATAGGTTGTATGCCTCTCATAATATGGAGGAGACATGCAGACCACTGCAAACTGTCCTGCTTTTTCCTCTGAGAGGGTGCTGAAAGATGATATAACAGTACCAAACAGCAGTTACAGTGTACTTTTTAGAGTGATCTGTGTTTTATTTATCCTGGACTCATAAGAATGATCATCAAGATCAGACCACAGTATCATGCAGCAGCAGAGGAAGCTGTAGGAAGTCAAGCAGAGAGGAATATGTTGGCACTATTGACTGGCACTCTTCTACAACTGGGGTCATTCACTTTATGAGAGTAAATGACCTAATTATTTTTTTGAGTTGACGTATTTAATGCTTATTCTATATTCTACATTTTTATTTCATTGATACAAATAATATACAGGAAAAGACTCAAAATACCATTTGACCTCATAGTTCTTATTTTAGATAATCAGGCTTTCATGGGAGGTGGCAAGAATCAAAATTCAATAGCCTAAACAGATTTGTAATGGGAGCTCTCATTCCATGGAAGTGGAATAGTTCGGTTTAAAAGGGCCATCTTGATCCCATAATGCAATTTCTCATTTCTACCTGTAAAAACCAGCTATGGCACATAAAATTGAATCATTCGCTTAAAGTAAAAGAGATAACTAAAATGATGAAGAACTCTCCACATCTCATTAATAATTCATTGTATTATAATTTATCCAGATGAATTAAAATATTATTAGTTTAGAAAAAAGTCATTAAAAACTGAAAAGAGTTCTGGCAAGATGGCTCAGTCAGCAAAGAACTTGCTGTGTAAACACAAGGACCTGAGTTTAATGCCCAGAACCTATGTATAAAGCTTGGAGCAGTGGCATGAGTTTATAATCCTAGCACTGGGGAAATAGAGACAGGTGGCTCACTGGGGCTTTCTGGCCAGCCAACCCAGCTTAACCCAATGAGGGACCTTATCTGAAAAAATATCAGGAACAACACCTATGGTGGACCACTGGCCTCCACATTCATACCCATGTGCACCTATATACACAAACACATCCACAAACACTACACACATACACACACACACACACACACACACACACTATAAACTTCATAAAAGTAGAGATGTGCAACTGAAATCATGGCTTTTCTATAAACTATAACAATGAAATTCTGTTATCAAATTTCAGAATATTCACAGCAATGATACTTCGAATGGCAGTTATTCATGAAATATTACATAATACATGCATGACACAGGTACTGCTTTAATGAGGAGACCTACATATTCTCCATCAAGCCAAAAGACAATTGTTAAATGAAGAAAAATAAAGTTGCAGATGATGCATTATTTCCTTCTAAGACAGATATCTTTTTAAAACTCTATCATTCACAACACTTCAAAACCCAAAGATGATAACTTCTTTGGAGCTCAGAATGGAAATCTTCCCAAACATAAAGGTGTTCTGCACAACAAAAATAGATTGCAAGACTTCTGGAATATGTATGTATTGAATTCTAAGGAGTTTAGTTCTAAAGCACTATACTAGCCAAAAAATATCCATCTATAAAGTAGTTGAGTACATATAGAAGTCCTGTGCTGGTTGAATTTATACCATGAACACTGAGGTCGCCTGTTTGTGACAGATCCTGCTTTATGTTGTTTTACCTATGGTTGTACAGTGTAGACTCATCTCAGAGTCTAGACTGAGACTGTTACAGGAAATAATCTGAAGGAGAGCACTCTAAGCACCTTTGGCGGTACCATGTGTTTTGTTTTAAACTTACACATTTTCATTAACAACAATGATAGCTGTGTAGCTTTTCCTGGGGATGTGAACAAAGCTCTAATCACCCCAGATAGGGCTCTGATAACAGAACAAAGAAATGTTACATCCAAGTGCAGCTTGGGTGAACTGATGAATTGATTGGGGCTGCTTAGAGAAATCTGGGTAGCCTAAAAACAATTATATAACACAAAAGTCCCACTCCAACATGAGTGTTGACTTTACAAACCTGCAAAAATAGTCTTGCCTTCAGTTAACTTCTATCTTTCTATCTCTTATATACTCTATCATTGCCCAAGACCAAGTACATCTATGGGGCAGGAGGAAATAATAGCCGGCATGCTGGGCGGCGGGGATGGGGCTTGGACCCTCTTTTTCTGCTGGGGAGTGTTAACAACTCTAGTAGCATTACAGTAGGCCTAGCTATCATTGCACTGCTTTATTTCATGATTGTGGGGCCAGTGTATTCTGTGGGTCATCACAGCAACCTCTTCCCATCAGAGCTAGTGGTCATGCCAAGCCCTGGTCATGTCTTAGAGGAAATCACTCACTACAACAATGGTTATTAACCCCTTATGTCAATACCATAGGCTCCTCAGGCTTTCAGAAGAATTCAGTACATTTTTTAAAGGAAAATAAGTGATTCAAATGGAAAGTCAGAAATGAACCCTTTCCACAACCCCAGCAATGATGGAAAGAAGTGTCACATTTCCTCCTCCTCATTTACTATGTCCAGGCAAGTTAGGAGAAAGGGACCATCAAAGGCACTCCAGGGGGTGGGGGTGGGGCTTCAGTAGGACTAGAAACATAAGGAAGGAGCTTAGAAAAAGAACAAAGGAGTGTACTGGATGGTGTAATTATAGAGACAAAGAGGATGAGAAAGATGTCTCCTGTAGCACTGGAAGAGGTCCAAGCCGGTGGGATTTCCTTCAGTCCATCAAAACCTTCTGATCAAGAGCTGGAGGTTTATTTCAGAGAGATAGCACTTGTCTAGCATATGTAAAGCCCTGAGTTCATTCACCAGCCTAAGAAAAAGTTCCCCAACAGAGCAACAATGAAAATGTAAGCAAATAAAATTAACTATATTTATTTATACTTATTTTATAATTAACTATATTTAATTATAAAATATATCAATTGATTTGGAAACAGTTTGTCAGCAAGTTAAGAGAGTAGCATGTCTGTGTTTGGCTACAATGGTTCTCTGATAAGATCTTATATCTTCCCACCAGAGTGAAGATCATTTACTCACTCACTGTTTATGTTTAGAGTGTATTGAACATCTGCAATATGCAGGTGCTGTTCTCCGTTCTGGACGTGCAGGTTAAGTAGAGATGAGCAAAATAGGCATTTCTTGCCCTTTCTGGGCGTCTCTGCCACCAGATAATAAGAGAAAATACCTTGAGTAGGTAGCAACGTTGAAAGACAACTGAGAGCTCACACACAGGAACCCTGCTCATTTTCCCCATAACCCTTTCCTGACATAAATAAGTTTTGCCTGAAGAAAGAACTGACAGAAGCCTGTGGTTTCACGGAGTTGTATCTCACTGGTGTTCTGTAGCTGGTGATACAGAGGAACCATCAACGGAGTAGAAGGCCCTGGGAAAATTCTTTCCAGAAGCCTGACTGACATGCTCCTTTACGTTCTCACAAGATGCACTGTGCCTTTTGTTCTCCTTGATGTGAAAGATGCCAGGAGCATGCTCCCTTCTGAAACCGTCCCTCACCGGCTGGTCTTCATGCTTCTGCTGTCACACAGCAGAAAAGGCCTGCTCAGACCCACCCTCTGGGTGCATCTACCCATCTTTCTTCAGCCCTTTGTGGATATAACCACCTTTTCTATTTCTGCACCATCAGAAAATATGTCCAACAATTTAAATTCTTTTGTTATTTCTTTTCAGTGATTACATTTTCCTTCAATAAATTTTGTATTTCTTTTTAAGCTTTATATGCGTATTTGCAACTCGAAGTTCTTTTCATAAAAACTCTATTTTGTTTCACAACATGGCCTTCCTTGACTAGTGGAAACTCTACGAGAGATATAAATAGATTAAAGCAAAAGGAATTACTCAACTTGGAACATATCCAGAAATCTCGCCACTTTCCTCTGAGTAAACTACAAAAGAGAATGAATAATTATGTGTCCATGTACAGATTCATGTGGTCTTCATTTAGAATGTAAAAATGACATACCTCTTATCAACTCGTTTATCACTTAGAAATGAAAAGACAAAAGCCAGGCATGGTGGCACACACCTTTAATCCCAGCACTGGGGAGGCAGAGGCAGGCAGATCTCTGTGAGTTCAAGACCAATCTGGCCTACATAGTGAGTTCCAGGAAACTGGGGCTTCAGGAGATCCTATCTCAAAAAGACAAAAACAAAACAAAACAAAAAAAGAGATGCTAAAAGAAATCAATAAATAGTCATTAAGTATGGAGCCATTCAAATTTCTTGAAAAATAGGAATACTCATAAACACTCAAAAATCAATAAAAGACTAAAAATATCAATATTTGGCAATGATTATTAGTTTGAGAATTAGAAATTAGTACAAGTTAAGATAAGTGCAAGATTGTTTGAAAATAAACAGTTCTGGTGACAGACTGATTCAAGGGTTAAGAAAGGAAGTAATAGAGATAACTGTAGATTTCTAGACTGGGGTATCTGAACTGTAAGTACAGAGTGCAGGAAAGGGCACTGCAGCTCAGGGGTGGAGAGGATAGAGCTTGCAAAGGGACCGTCTGTCTGGCCTGAGCTCTGTAGCATTTGAGGCATTGGCAAGATGTCCAGCAAACCTTCCTAGGCCAGAGGAAGTGATGCCATGGGGTCCTGTATTGCAGAAGACCTGAGATCACAAGCTGGAGTCTTCTGATTGGATTCAGACTCAGCTTGACTGTCTGAGAGGCTATGGTCAAAGACAAAGTCCAGGACTCCCAGTTCACCAAACTCCATGTAGTTTGAGCTCATTGTTTCTTCTCCAGGCTGAAAACACATGTGAAATAAGTCTCACTCTCCAAAGTGCAAATCTACTGTACTTTCCATTCAAGTAAGTTTCTGCTGCCTTCTAGAAAACCTTAAGAAAATGCTTCAAACATTTCTTTTTATTTCCAGTGTGAACGACTGAACCTTGCACTTCAGAGAACATTAGCAAAACATAAAATAAAAGAAAACAGGTAAGTCAAACTATTTTAATTGCAAGAACCCTCACCTCAGTTGCAAATATTATGAAAAACAACCATTACTTACTGAATATACTGATACTTCCTGGATCATTACAATATGTTAAACTGAACTAAGTATGTTAGTTCCTAGGAATTTGAAAGTGAGTGCATTTACTTTTAAGGTGGAAGGGATGTTGAGTAGCATTTTTGTAAGCCCAGATTTTATAGTTTTTTTAAAAAAATTATTATTTTTATGTGTATGCGTGTATTGCCTGCAGATAAGTAAGTGCACCCGTGTCGTGCAATGCCCATGGAGGATAGAAGAGGCTGAGTAGCATTTTTGTAAGCCCAGATTTTATAGTTTTTTTTTAAAAATTATTATTTTTATGTGTATGCGTGTATTGCCTGCAAATAAGTAAGTGCACCCGTGTCGTGCAATGCCCATGGAGGATAGAAGAGGCTGTCAGATCCCCTGGAACTGGAGTTACAGACAGTTCTTAGCTGCCATGTGGGTGCTGGGATTCAAACCCAGGTCTTCTTCAAGAATGGCCAGTGTTCTGAACCACTGAGCCATCTCTCCAGCCCCTGTATAGTTAGTTTTTAAAAATAAAAAGAATCACATTTGCTTCTGGTACATAAATTGGCCCTGTTCTCAATATTTAATTTATGAATAATGGGATAAATACTGAGTTCAAATTTGCAGACTAGAAAGAATATGGGAGTTTTGCCAATCGACACCACTGTTAGCACAATCTACAAACACCTTCTTGTGTCTCCCAGGATTCATGGGTAATCTGCCCTGTGGATTATCTGTGCCGAATTTTCCATTCTGACTAACTGCTCTCAGACTGCATGCAGGCCACATGACTGAGCCAAGATAGGGGCATGGACGGGTCCAGAAGGTGTGAATCTGTGTGTCTGACAGAAGCTTTGTTTATAGGACAGATATGACAAGCATCCCAGATGCCTCTGACCTTAACACAGGCTGATAAGATGGTAGCTGCTAGTCCTTCTTGCTGTGCTACTGGGGCTGTCTGTTCCAGTCCATGGCAGGCAGCTCTCTCAGGATTTATTCTCAGGGCTCTGTGCTCTGAGATGTTCCTGCTGCTGCATGCAGAGATGTTCCCTGTGGTAGATCTCTTCAAAGAAACCTCAAAAGTGAAACAAACAAATCATTTCATTTGGAAATCTTGAAAACTCTTTTACCACTTCACCAATTTCTTAAAGAAAAGAAATGATGATGCTTTTCACCCATGTTCAGTTGCTGAAGTGAGGCCTTTACTCCTCTCTGTTGGTGTGCTGAGTAACCCTGCTTCCTTTGGCTTTCTTTAGTTCTTGGGTCTCCTTCTGTTTGTGTCTGTCCCTCACTTGTTGGTTGGTGACTCCTCAGCTACTGTTTCGGCTATATTTAGTCTGTCGGAAGATGACACATTTCAACCCTGTTTCATGCATCTTATATTCTGGGACTTGTAAAGCAAACAAAACACAATGTATGAAGCAGTATACTACCCTTGAATGAAGGGCCAGAGCCCCAGCTCTAGCTGGTAGAGTCATTGTGATCTCTGTCACTGTGTAGTCTTCTCTTTTTTGGCTTTTGTTCACATTATGGTGTGGATGAATTCATAGCCGGTGAATGCGTGGGACTATGTGTGCATGTGTATAACTCTGTGTGAGTTGTGTGTATGTGTGATACATGGGCTTGCGTGTCATGGGCAGGTCCTTCTGTCTGCTGTTTCTGAAGCTCAGGGGTTTTAGCTTACAGCTCACTGTGTACCATTTGGAATTTTCTGCTCTCATCTGATAGCAGCGGTGTCAGGAAATGGCAGCATTAGACTGAGGGAGGCCTGCTACATTCCTTAGAGGAAAAAAAAATAGAAGGGGCTTAAAAGAAAAACGAAGGACATCTGAAGACTGAGTGACTACGTTATATAGTGAACTCCCTGACAAAGTATTTGGGGATCTCCACATTCAAATAGAATATAGCATTATATTATGATCCTAAATCCTTTAGATAGAATATTTCTACCTACTACTTTAAATTCTTGTAAGCATTATACTTTCATGTGATAAACTGGTACACTGAGCAGTTTTCCTTCTTGAAATATTTCCTTCTGAAACTTCTTAAACTATACCGTGCTTTATTAAAATTTTATTAAAACTATCAGATTATGCCTTGTAAACTTGGCTCTGGCATTGTCAACTAATAGCAATTTGAACCACGGAAAGGACCTTTTGTGAGTTTAATGTGGTTGCGTAGTTTGGCAAATTTGGCTGTCACTGGTCACTATAATGCAAAGTTATCAAAAGCAACTGGGCAAACTTGAGTCTAAAGGTTTAGTTGAAATTACTGATGCCCTCTGCCAATCACCATATATGCTATCATTATTTTAAGCTTCTGTGATCTTGAATAGAATGATTGAGGAATGAATAGATTTGTTACAAATTTGAATAGAAGATTATAAAATCAGGAGCATATATATTTTTGTGATAATGTCTGAGATAATTAGTTAGAATCCTACACTCAACAGTCAAAAAAAAAAATCCTGTTTTATGTTTTAGCTTTAGAAAAACAGAACAAATCAGTAAACTGTGGTGCCCACTGAGGGGTAGATCTCATTTGGAGGATCAAATTTCTTGAGAATTTATTTTTGGGTGCTGAGCATGGAGCCCGGTCCTCTGTATCCTCTGCATGCTAGGCAGCTCCTCGCCACTGACCTTTTTGCCTGCCATTCTCTTCTTGACCAGTTCCCATTCTTAGTTCCCACCACAGCAGATTCTCTTTCCCTTTGGCCCACATAAAGTGAACCTCAAAGGTCAGTGTGCTTCATGAGGGATGATGACACACTGCATGCAGCATGTACTTTAGGACTGTTCAGCATTGTTTTGGGTTGTACGTGTCACTGTTCCTTTCATGTATAGCTGTAAGTCAAGATTTGCTTCTGGAAAATTATTATCTGTCATTGCTTTCATATGTTGGATACAATCTGAATCTTCGACATTCATTTATTAGTTTATAATTTGATACTGAATTGTTTCCAGGATATCTCTGGAAAGAGAAGACCTCGAAAAAATAATTGCAGACCAAGCAATTGCAGCAGGTAACAGAATTGTTTAAGTATATGCATTTAGGAAGCATATCCTATTCTTGTGTAACTAATATTTAGTGACTTCCAACATGAAGTAAGTGTTTGAACTTCTTATTGTTAATGCAGAGCCTAGCCCTTTTTATACTCTACACTTTGGTGTGACCGCAAACATTTCCTCTTTTTATCCTGTTTGTTTGCTGAGGAGATAAGGCTGGATGGGAAACTGACTCAAAGACATTCACAGGCTTTGGTCTTGAACCAAACTTACTCTTTCTCATTTGTATATGAAAAAGTCTGCTCATCAAGGTAAAATAAAGAATATTTTTGAAGGTTGAAAGTAATCCTGGGAAAATAGGCTGGCAAAGTTCTCACATTAATAGCCAGTTATGGGAGAAACAGATGAGTGACTGGTGCACAGCTCTTTTCAAAGTTTGGATACAAAGACCAAGAGGCTACAGCCTTGTGAAAGTACACATTGTTCAGCATTATAATAACAGCAATGGCTAGCCTTCTTAAGAGCTAGACATTGCTCTAAGCATCAGCCCCACACATCATATCGTGCTTTGAGGGCAGCACTGTTTCCCACATTACACCAGGAAAGTACAGTATCTAGAGTATGAGGAAGAAAAGGAAGTTTAGCAAGGAGATGCTGAAACTGAATAATACGTTTCAGGCAAATACTCATTGAGAGGATATGAAATAACAAGAAAACCATCCCTGAAGTTATCTCCAGACAAAGCTGAGTTTCAGGTGTGCACTATACCAGTTTCTCTAAGTAGAGGATGCTTCAAGAAGATATATGTTTTGTTGTTAACATAGAGATAGACAGACTTTGTCTGAAATGGACTTACTCCTAGAGCTCTAATTGTCTTAAGGTTAACAGAGATTTTTTTAAAGTAGTACATTATGGCTGGGTGTGGTGGTTAAGAGAGAGATATTTTTAAAGTAGTACATTATGGCTGGGTGTGGTGGCACACACCTTTAATCCCAGCACTTGGGAGATCTCTGTGAGATTGAGGACAGCCTGGTCTACATAGTGAGTTCTGGGTAGGCTGAGCCTACAGAGACCTTGTCAAAACAAAACAATAAAATAAAATTAATGTAGTGCATTATATTTAATTAGTCATTTTGGGGTTAAAATGTACAGCACTGGGATTTTAATCTATTACCAAAATTATAAAATCTATGCCTGGAATGTGGGCATTTGGTTTGTGTTGGGAATTCCAAGATGCAGGGGAAGTAAATCACAAATTAAGCAAGGTTGCTTGTGGGAGCAGTGGCTAGGGCTCTGGATTGGAGCATTTGAAGGCTGACACTGTCCTGTGTGCTTGCAGGAGTTCCAGTGGAGGTGGTCAAAGGCTCTTTGGGTGAGGAGCTGTTCAAGATCTGTTATGAGGAAGATGAGCGCATCCTGGGCGTGGTTGGTGGCACTCTGAAGGACTTCCTAAACAGCTTCAGCACGCTGCTTAAGCAAAGCAGCCACTGTCAAGAGGCTGAGAAGAGGGGCCGGCTGGAAGACGCCTCCATCCTGTGCCTGGACAAGGACCACGACTTCCTAAATGTTTACTACTTTTTCCCCAAGAGAACCACAGCCCTGCTCCTCCCTGGGATCATCAAGGCAGCCGCTCGAATATTGTACGAAAGCCACGTGGAGGTGTCTTTGATGCCTCCCTGCTTCCGCAGTGATTGCACTGAATTCGTGAACCAGCCCTATTTGCTCTATTCGGTCCATGTGAAAAGTACCAAGCCTTCGCTGTCCCCAGGCAAGCCCCAGTCCTCACTGGTGATCCCCGTTTCGCTCTTCTGCAAGACCTTTCCATTTCACTTCATGCTCGACCGCGACCTGACCATCCTGCAGTTGGGCAACGGCATTAGAAGGCTGGTGAACAAGAGGGACTTCCAAGGGAAGCCCAACTTCGAAGAGTACTTTGAAATCCTGACTCCAAAAATTAACCAAACTTTTAGCGGGATCATGACAATGCTGAATATGCAGTTTGTCATACGAGTGCGGAGATGGGACAACTCTGTGAAGAAATCTTCAAGGGTAAGGAAAACAGGATTATCTTGAAAATAAATCCAATTATTTCATATCTGAGTGCCAGAAATCAAAAGGTGCAAGTGTATATGCCATCTCAAATGCTTTGATAATACATTATGTCTAAAATTCTAAAATAAGGGCCTGGAGAGATGGCTCAGCAGTAAGAGCACTTTCTCAGAGGACACGGTTGGGTTCTCAGCACCCACTTGGCAGCTAACAACCATTCCTAACCCCAGTTCCAGGGGAACTGACATAGTCTCCTAGCCTCCGAGGGCATTGCGCACATAGGTGCACTTATATGCATGCAGGCAAAGCCTTCATACACATAAATAACAAAAGTAAATATGTAAAGTTTTTAAAATTTTAAATTAACTAACACTTGGAGTATTCTTTTCGACATTTGTTTACCTACTTTATTCATTACTTCACAAATATTTATTGAATGCAGTTTGTCTTTAAAACCCTAACGATGAGCTGGAGATGAAGCTCAGTTCACTGATTGTTTGCATAAGGTCTGGGTTTGATACCCAGCATCCTATACAACTGTGCTGTGTCCAGTCACATGTCTGCAATCCCACCACTCAGGAGGTAGAGGTAGGAGGATTAGAAGTTCAAGGTCATCCTTGGTTACATATCCAATTCAAAGCCAGACTGGACTACATAAGACTCTAAAGCCTGAGCTCAAATAAATAAATAAATAAATAAATAAATAATAAATAAATAAATAAATAAATAAATAATTAAATAAATAAAAACTTGGGGAAGCAAGAGGCAAAATGGCTTAGTGGGTGATGGGTGAAGGTGCTTGCTGTCAAACCTGATGATCTAAGTTTGATTCATGGAACCCACAACATATTGGGAAAGAAGAACCAACTCTGGAAGGTTGTCCCTCTGACTTCCACGTTTGCTGTGATGCACGTGCATGCACACTCACACATTCACACACACGCAGAAAATTAAGGCAAAAAGATAAAAATGGATATGTAAACAAACAAATATAAAATCACAGTGGAGTATTTAATTAACTTAGAAGTGTTCATATAAAAAACTGTCATGGGACTAGACAGGTGGCTCAGGGGTTAAGAGCACTGACTGCTCTTGCAGGACCTAGGTTGGGTTCCAAGCACCCACATGATTGCTAATAACAATCTATAGCTCCAGTTCTAAGGAATCCAATATTCTCTTCTGAGAATGCATTGCATGCATGTGATGTACTTACATTCACCTCGGCACAACACTTGTACACATAAAATAAAAATAAAATAATAAAAAAGTTTTAAAAAGAGAAAGCTGCTTTTAATGATTATCAGACATCTGATTTGGTATGGGTAATAGAAAGTACTGTTTTACAAGAACAAAACTACATGCTGTAAGAGTAGACCAAATGGATTTTACTCAATATTTAAAGACATGGACATGGAAGAAGGGCTGGGGAGATGGCTCAGTAGTTAAGAGCACTGGCGGCTCTTGCAGAGGACCTGGGTTCAGTTTCCAGCACCCACATTGAGGCTAATAACTGTCTGGTAAAGAATTTTGGTCATTATTTTGACTCAGAATTGAAAGCTTACTAACTAGCTGATGCTGTAAACAAGGCAAAGAGAGAGGCCTTAGGAACATAGCCCCACAGAAGCACTAACTGTTTTTCACAATGGAAACAACTATGTTATCACTTTTACTATAAAAAATAACATATTTAGGTGTCTAAAAAAGATTAATACTCAATAATATCCATTACAGCAAATATATAAGAAGTTTGACTTAGATGTCTGTTTACAGCAACAATGATGACAAAAACTTACAACTACTTTTGCCAGTATGTTTAATTCCTTTTCTGTTGCCATGATACAATTCCATGGCCAAGGCAACTTATAGAAGAAAGATTTTATTTTGGCTTATGGTTTCAGAGGGATAAGCATCTATCATGGGTGGGAGGCACAGCAGCAGGAGCCAAAATCTGAGAATTCACATCTGCACCACAAGCACAAAGAAGAGAGAGCAACTGGACTGGGACAAGGCTATAAACTCTCAAAGCCCGCCCCAGTGATGTGCTTCCTGTAGCAGCCTTTGGTACCTTCCAAACCTCCTGAAACAGCACCACTAAATGGGGGCAAAGTCTTCAAATGCGTGGGCATACTGGGGACATCTCTCATTCAAACCACCATAGTCAGTACCAATAGATTTTGGTCATCCCTTTCTTTTGCTGGATGTTAATCTACCTCACTGTTTTGGAGGCTATGGTATATTGCATTGCATGGCTTTATTTTATTTGTCCAGCTTCCTACTGAGGAGCATTTGGGTTGCTTCCATTCTGATATAGTGTGAACACAAGTGTATGCTTGGCTATATGAATACAAGTAAATTGTGTGGTCTGGGATAATCACCTGTGGCCCCAACTCTTTCAAGGCACTCCGGATGCATTTCTGTTTGTTTGTTCTTTTGTTTATGTTGTGGAGCTTAGCAAGGAAAAACTGAAACTTGGACATGGCTTCTCCTGTAAAACGCAGCAAACTTGGGCTGAAGTCTCTGGAGAAATAATCACTTCCAAAAGATGTCTCTGTATCTAACTCCAGACCAAAAAAAATTTAGATATATATTTAGAGACTTTTTAACTTCTATGCTTGCCAGATGGGACAAATAACTCATGAGAGAAGGCAATAAAAGCTTGCTAAAATAGAAGACAAAAAACATGTGGAGGGAGGAGGGGGAGAGTGTGAAGTGAATGGGGACGAGGTCGTAAGTGCCACGAATTCCACAAAAAACATGGAACTCCAGATTAGCTTACTGAGAACATCAAAAGAATACAGAAACAAAAGCACCAAGGCTGTTTCATGAAGCCTTGAAGCAAGAAATGCTTTGCATTGCTCATGGCAAGCCATAATGTCTGTGTAGTGTATATTCTGATATAGTCTTCAAAAACCTGCATGTCTTTTAGAACTCAAAGCAAACTGGAGCTGATTAAAGAAAACATGCTTTTTTTCTGTAGCAAACTGGAAAGAAAATCGACCTCAAACAAAAGGGTTGGCACTGTATCTACCCCCTTTCTTTTTGATTCAGAGAATGTTAGGAACTTGACTAAGTGGACTATAATTTATTCTCTTTGTTTTACAGGTTATGGACCTCAAAGGTCAAATGATCTATATTGTTGAATCCAGTGCGATCTTGTTCCTGGGGTCACCGTGTGTGGACAGACTGGAAGATTTTACGGGACGAGGGCTCTATCTCTCTGACATCCCAATTCATAACGCTCTGAGGGATGTGGTGTTGATAGGGGAACAAGCGAGGGCTCAGGATGGCTTGAAGAAGAGGCTGGGGAAGCTGAAGGCCACCTTGGAGCATGCCCACCAAGCCCTGGAGGAGGAGAAGAAGAAGACAGTAGATCTTCTGTGCTCCATCTTTCCCTCTGAGGTTGCTCAGCAGCTGTGGCAAGGACAGATGGTACAAGCCAAGAAGTTCAGTAATGTCACCATGCTTTTCTCCGACATCGTGGGGTTCACTGCCATCTGCTCCCAGTGCTCACCTCTGCAGGTCATCACCATGCTCAATGCACTCTACACACGCTTTGACCAGCAGTGTGGAGAACTGGATGTCTACAAGGTAGGGGAGAGGGTCAGCACAGCAAGGTTTACAGGCAGAAGTCACTGTGCTTAGAATTTGAGTGAATTGCAGTGCAAATGAGAAGCTCTCTGTGCTGGGGTCATGCAGGCTATTATCTGAGCATCAGGAATTGTACATTAATTAAGTGGGTGTTCTCCAGCCAGGAATAGCTTGGAATCTGCTTAGAAACAGAAAGGCCTGCCACAGTGTCTTCTAAAAACTGAGCATAGAATGAAAAGAGATTAGGCTGAATGGATGACTCTCCCAGTGAAAAGGTAGTGATTAGCCATTAATGACAATCTACTTCCCTGTGGAAACTAAGTTAAACACAAGCTAATTAAAGATATAATGCATAGGGGGTACTTTATCCTTTTTAAAAGTAAAGAAATATGAGTATTATAAAATTTGTACTAAAATAGATTAATCTGATGAATAGTTTACTTTTCATAGGCAGAGGAAATCAAAGTCACTTAAGATTTTTTAGTGACTTAGTCAAAATCTGATCAAATACGAAATCTGCCTTCAGAACTTATCCTCCCATTTTCTTGCTTTGTAAACAGAGCGAGTTCTTTTCCATTTCTAAAACAGAAAATTGTAGAGATTCTCAGAGCTTATGTGTATGAATAACATTCCGTGTTCTATAACATTTGTGAACAGGGTTGTTAGGAAGATCTGATGGATGATATATGCTTGTAGATCAGACATCCAGAATCCTTTGGGTGCCTGTGATCAGTCAAGAATCTCTCTAGGCTTTGAGGATCCAACAACACATTTCTATCCTGGATACCAAATAGGTTATTTATTTTTTAAATATTATGGGATGGGGGGATTTCAAGTTCTGCCTACTTTATTAGAATTAAAAGGTTTGACTGATTGAAATTGCCTCATTTAGAGAGTGGCAATGAAGCATTCATCTCCATCTGATGCAAATCATCTGTTTAATTTGCCACATAACAATTGGGCATTCTGACACATGACACAACATGAAAGAAATAAATCATTGGGAAGAAGAAAATATTATTTATGGTATAGGGAGGTCCCCATAAAAAACCCTAATCATGAATTAATTTTTCCTCTGCAAACAAGTCTGTCCAGGACCCCTATAAACTCCAAACCATAAAGCTGTTTCTGCTCTGAGAACAGTTATTGCTTTGCAAATCAGTCCTTCTGAGACCCTTATGCGGGGGTGGGAGGGGATGGGAGGGGGAGGAGAGGAATGTGGGTCCTGAATCCTTACTCCATGCCCATGGCATAGTTCACATGTACAAAAGTACTTAAGCTGTTTGGCCAGTGTTGGTATTTCAAACTCCCTCTGGTCCGTAGTCACCCCTCCTTGACTAATAAAGGTCAATTTGGATCATCAAGGTTGGTTGATTTTCCTTTTCTCTTGTGACTCTTTCAATGACTACTCTTAGTTTTATACCCTGGAGAGAGAAAAAACTCCCGATTCCTAACATTTTGGTGCCAAAACCCAGGAGTGAGAGCTCCGCTTTCAAGCCTCATTCCTCACATCTGGGAGTACATAAAGTGCTTGCCTTTTTCCTTGGAGCTGCAAAAAGCAAACATTTTCTATTTTGAAATTTCTTATAGGAAATTTCAGGGGGATCCATGATTCTCTTTGGAGAGGAGGGGGGCTAGGTTAATGTTTAATTATAAACAATTGGCACTCATTAGGTTAAGTTTAATGGCCTGTTGAAGAGTTTATTGTTTATTTCTAATCATCCTCTCCTTTGAAAATGACGCTCTCTCAGAATTGTGAGGTGGAAGTCCTTTTCCACCATACAGACCTCTGTGATTACCGGCAGGAGAACTCTCCATCTTCGGCTTCTAGTTTCGTGTACTCTATCAAGGATTTGTAAATTGTGCTCTTTCTGACAACAACTGTGGCTGCAGAATTTTCTGACTGATCTAGCTTCAGATGGCACTGGACAGTCCACCCCAAATCATTTCTCCCTCAGCCCTCATTTCCACATTCTTATTTCTGATTTTTCATTAAAATAACCAGAAATGGCTTACAATAATGAGTAACGGCCTGTCCCACTCAATACATTTCATATGTACAAAATGTACACATGCCGACCTGGACATGCAAATGACTTCTAAAGAATCATAACTGTGTTTGGTGAATCAGGGCTTTAGACGACCTCATTTACTTCCAGTTTTTCTGTCTTTTGACTGGTAGTTTGAATGAGGATGTCCCAAATGGGCTCCAAGTACTCGGACATTTTGTCCCCAGTTGATGGCACTATTTTGGGAGGTTTTAGAAGGTGCAGCCTTAGAGGAATAATGTCACTGGGGGTAGCTTTGAGAGTTCTTAAGCCTTGCTAGGTTTCTGGTCACTCTTTGCTTCCTGTGCCTTCTTGAAGACGTGAGTGCTCAGCTTTTTGCTGCTATGCCTCCTCTGCCATAGAGACTTGAATCCCTCTGGAGTCCTAAACCAAATAATCTCTTCCCTTTATGTCTCCTTGGTCATGGTGTTTTATCACAGCAACGGAAAGGTTAACTAATACAGATAGTGTCCTATTTGTTTTTCTGTTACTTTATTGTCTTAGCAAAGTTTTGTTGGTTATCCAGTGTTTGCTTACTTGGATGGGCAATCAATGCAGAGAAGGCAAGCCCAGGCTCTGACAGGAATTCACATGTGAGGAGAAGTAGAGACGGAGCTAACAAATGTCCAGTTTCCACATGATATGATGGATGCCTGGTTACTCAAATACATATACCATACAATAGCTGAGGAACAGGCACCTAACTCTGAGTAAAGGTCAGCAGTAGTACTCCTCCTGAAAGACGTAAAAATTGGCTCACTGTAATACATTTAGCATTATAATGAACATTTATGGGAGTCCTTGGCTAAGGGAAAGCTTGTGGGAGTTGTTGCTGCCTGTTCTCTTGTTGCTGAGCACAAGTGATGTGGCAGATCCCACAGACTGACTCAGAGCACTTACATTATAGTGTGGTGGGGAGAAAAAAATGAATGCATATATAATATTCCAGTTGTAAAATATGGGAGTAAAAATAAAGCAGATTAAGGAGGAGAAGAAATGCAGAGGGTCAAAGCTCTATACAGGTACTTAGAACAGATCTACTGATCAGGTGATGGTTTACCAGAGAGAAAGAAGTAAGTAACAAGCCAGGCAGGTAACTATCTACAGTTTACTCTAGGAGAATGAAGAATGAGAGTATGTTTAGTAAGTTTGAATGATAACAGGATTTCATAAACACCAGAGAAGCAAATGCAAGAGGCAGAATTAGAAGATAAAGTGAGATGTTAGCAAAGACAGTTTAAAAGTGACTCTGGAAGCATTCCAAGCAGGTTGGCCTTTACACTGATAATAGGAAATTATTGGAGATGATTCCTGTTTATCCCTCTCTTCTTTTTTCCTTTCTTACCTTTATCCTTTCATACCAGAATCTTTGGATAAGAAGAGCATAATATAATGTAATACGTCACAATATATATATTTAGAGGACAAGAAAATGCAACTAGAGATTTAGAAGAATTATTTATGGTTTTAAAGTAATTTTTAGCTTTCTGTAACCTGTATCACAGAAAGATTTTAAAAAATTGCCTGTAGAAGCAACAATAAAGTTGATGACAACCACATTTGTAATTCAAGTTACAGTTGATTTCCAATAACTTTTCAAGTACCATTGCTTTTCGCCCAGATTGACAAATTGACTCCTATCCTTAATTTACAATTGATACTACTATAGATACTTAATAATTGCTGACTCCCAGAATCCTTTAGAAAAGTCATGTCTTTTGCTCTTATAACTATCAGTGTCTCCATTTTACATTATACACCTTCATTTCACACATATGATGTCTATTGAGGAAGGTGACTTCAGTGCAAAGCATATGCATTTTATGATGTACCAAAATTTATTAAAAATTCAAAATATAGCCTGGAGAGACTGCTCATCCATCTTCCTCTTCCAGAGGACCTGAGTCCATTCCTCACAACCACATAGAGCAGCTCACAACTGCCTATAACTCCAGTTCCAGGGGATCTGATGTCCTCTTCTGGCCTCTGTCAGCATCCACACACATGTGGCATGCACACACACACACACACACACACACACAATCACACACACATAAATAAGTAAAGTCAAAATTTAAATTAAAAAAAAAATCCAAAATACATCCCTTGCTTCTATAAAAGCCATTTTAAATAGCTGTTTAAAAAAAAAGAAAAAAGAAACCATAGAAGACACGGTTAGTGGCAACTCTAAAATAGAAACCATCTAATTATCTGTTCATGGACTTTGTTGCCCCTCACCCCTCAGCGCACTATTCTGAAGTCTGTGGTCTGCATTTTGAGAATTGCTTGAAAGGGAAAGTTGCTTCTGAGAGTACCTTATTTACCCTGATTTTCCATAGCACCCAGGCACTCAGGTTTCTGCCCTGTGATTCTGCTGTGAGAGTTCTTCCAGTGCTTTTATTTACAGTGTACAAAATAAATTCTGTCTAGGTGGAGACCATTGGAGATGCATACTGTGTTGCAGGGGGTTTACACAGAGAAAGTGACACCCATGCTGCCCAGATAGCGCTGATGGCCCTGAAGATGATGGAGCTCTCCAATGAGGTCATGTCTCCCCACGGAGAACCTATCAAGGTAAGCTAATGGCATGCTGTGGCAGGAGATACCATGAGACCAAATGCTTATTAGTTGATTATCAAAGGTCTGGTATATTCATCAGGGCTTAGTTGCTAAGGGCAAAGTCTTCTCAAATTTTTTTAAATAGGAATAAAAGTGGCTTACAGAATAATTTAGATGAATGGAGAAGTCATTTATATATTGGGCTTTCAAAAAGTGGCTCATAAACATCCATAGCAAACCATTGCTTTATCTGTGATCTGAAAGCTGGTGGCAGAGTTGCATCACCACAGCCAGTGCAGGAAATGGTCATATTCAGAAAGCCGTTTCTTGGGCTTCTGGTTACAAATCAAAATGGCTCCTGCTATAATTTGAATTAGCAAGATGGAAATCTGCATCATGTTTGTTATAGGACTTGATCTTGGCAACTGGGTTGTCTGTTAGTATGTCATAGATACCTCAAAGGCCCACACAACTATGCTCATAACTAGAAGCCAAAGAGATGCAGTTCCAATGGAAAGCTTGTCTTCCAAAACTCATACAAATACATCTCATTCATGCAATTTTATGCATCTAGAAAGTTCCAGGAAGTTTGGAAAATTAGTTTTTTGTTTTCTAGCAACTGCAAGAGAAGGCATTCCCTTAGAATATTGACTATGAAACCAACTGTATTCTCCAGGAACATGGCATTATATAAAATTCAGATGAAAGCGATCTTAGAGCAATGTGCTATTGCAAAAAAAATAAATAAAGTCAGGCATTGATTTAATGAATAGAACTCAAGTGAACTGCTTGCATTATTAATTTTTGTGTGTGCTGTTTTATAGCAGGTTTATAACTTAATCTTTATAGATCAGTCTTCAGCCAATTATTTTCTAGAAATTAGCATTTAAATAATGTAGAGTTCTGTCTAGTCAGTATTCCAGGTGACAATTTTCATAAATAAGAAAAGAAATTTAAACTACAATAATGACAAGTTTAGTGTTGGCCTTCTGTAACCTTAACAGGAGTCATGTGTCTTTTACAACTGGTTTCTAAACTAGCTGTTCATTTTTATATTGTTACATAATGCACTTCCCTCCATTTACTGGTGTAAAACCACAGCCAGTTATTGTGCATTGATTGTGTGCATTATGAATTTGGGTAAGTTATAAGAAGGCTGCCAAGCCTTTCCTGTACAATATCTGGGACCCTGGCTGTGAATAATCAAGGGTCCAAGATAGCAGCTTTACCTATTCCTGGACTCCTTGGTGACGGAGGTAGAAAGGCTGGGCTCCACTCGTACTGTTAGCCCAGGTTCTGTGCACTCCAGAATGCTGGGCTGAGAGTAGTCACGCTTTTCACATGGTGCCTAATGTTCCAATGAGTGTTTGGTGGATTATGCTGCATGGTTTTCTATGACCTATGCTCAAACAGTACACAGTGATGTTTCCACTTATTCTATTGGTCAGAGCCGTCATAGGTCTGTTCAGAAGCAAAGGGATGAAGACCCCGTGCCTCAACCACAGGAGTGTAAAATATTTCCAACTGTGTTTTAAAAGCTTTATACTATCTGACTCCCAGATTTATTTTTTATAATTACATTTTAGAGAAGCATATATCTTATTCTGCCTTTTGTGTGCGTGTGTATGTATGAGATCGCTCATAAAATTACAGTAAATCTCAAAAATATATGGACTATTAGCAATAAGGTCAGTGATTGCCACATAAATGACTTCTGTTTTCAGTGTCTCTAAAGGGGGGTTAATGTCTGGGTTGTTATTATCTAAGTATAATTTTTAGAGTTTTGTTTTTTGTAGCTGAGGGAATCATTTACCACTAGCCTTAAAGATAATTATCCAAGTAATAACAGGTTAGCCTTAGTGGCCTGTAAAGTGAAGCGCCAAACACATGTATTAATGCTTTACTTACCTGCAGTCCTGTGAGTTCCCACCCGCTTGGCTTCAGGAGTTCCATGTGAACAACACAGGGCAGAGGGACAGTGCTTCAGGAGACAGGGAACCAAGAGTGCCTTGCAGGGCGGCATGCTAGGACAGACATTACCCCTGTAATCTTTCTGACAACGTTCTGAAGAGGAGGCCATAAGGGTGGCACGATTCGCAGAAGTCTTGGATTCAGAGCCCAGGCTTCACTTACTCTTTGGTTTCCTTACGCAGTTCCATTGAAGCGAGAAGATGAAAGCCTTCCTTTTCTTCCTCTGTAGATCTGCTAGTCTCCAGGGCGTTCCTGTGTGTGGCCCTCAGCACCGCTTCTCACCACCGCTTCCACATTTCCTCACATCCACCCTTAGATGTCACTGATCTGAGGACTGGATTTCACAATATAGTCAGTAAGTGGGGAGGACAAGGGAGCCCATGGCAGGAACTTTCTTTGCCTGGAAACGAGTGATGCCAAAGAGGCCCCCAAACAGAGGGTTTCCCTGTCACGTTCTCATTCAAGATTTACTCAGAAGTAGAATTATTTCTGTCTTTCATGATTTCACTGAAAAGTCTTTTTTTTCCAGTGAAAAGAGGTGCATTTGGGCATGAAGCTCATCTCAATCTGTGATTTATCTTTTGCTCTTGAAATTGGAGTGAATGTGGGACTGAGCGCTGGAGAACGGAAGGGAGATCTGCATGGGGCTTTGGCCTTATGTGTGAGGGAAATTCATGAAATAAAAAGATAAAACGCTGTGGTACATTTATCATATAAGAAACTAGAATATTGATATGCACATAGAAACTGACTTAAGGATAGAATGTCCAAGAGAGCAAAATCTTTTCAACCTGTTTGTACTAAAGTCATGGCTGTTCTCATCTTCCTTAATATTGTGCAATGGTTAGATGTGTAAAGCCATATTCTCCTAAATATGAAAACTCCAGGTATAGCAGACATCTGAGTTTGGCTTCTTAATGTAAAACTCTGGTTTTAAGAATCACCTACCCCTGTGTTTTTAGATGAAGAAATAAGTAGAAGAAAATAAAGACACAAAGAAAGCAAATCTTCAGAAGGCAGCTCTCCTGGTTCACAGAGGAATTCTTTGGTTTGAAATTGTTGTGGGATTTATAGTATCATATATTAAAGCTAAATATTCTTGGAACTTCTAGCAAATATTTGAAGTTAGCTATAAACCTAGGCAAAACTTGTGCCAGTAAGATATCTCATCAGATAAAGGCACATGCCTCTTGAACCTAGTGACCTGAGTTCAATGCCTGGAACCCACACAGAAGGAGAAGTCCTCAAGCTGTTCTCTGGCCTCTCCACGTGCACCGTGGCATGTGCCATGCCCCCAAAACAATAATAATTTTTTTTAAAGTTTTAATGAAAAAACTTAGCGTCCTCTAATTTCCAAATGGCATCCACATTACCAAGTCCTTGGCATCTCTTTAAAATGAATTTAGCTAGTAAAACATCTTTTAAATGGTGAAGTCAACATAGAATCTGAAAACAATGAATGTAATATCCACTGTACTTGCCCTCTGTTAGCATACTTGGAGCAGTAGGTTCAGAGTGCACACCTTCTCTCAAATCATCAAAAAATAAGGCATTTTAGATGATCTAATTTAAAAAGATTTCAAAGCTCAAACCACACAAAATCCCAACACAGACGAGGGGGAGTGGGTAAGAAATTCCAACACTTTCTGAGGAACTACTGTTGTCTACTTCCGATGCAACTGGTGACTGTGAGGAAGGGAAGATTCAGTCTCGTGTAAAGGTGATAGTCTTACTGGATTGATCAGGCTCCAGTGGATTAACCCACAACAAGGGGCATTTGGTCCACAAATATGACTCTATGAGCCTTATATCTCTATCTATCTCCTATCTATCTATCTATCTATCTATCTATCTATCATCTATCTATCATCTAGCTAGCTAGCTATTATCTATCATCTTTCATATATATTAGAGTACAGAAATTTGGTGGGAGAGTTAGAAGGGAGTGCAGATATGATGGGCATCCAAATATGATCAAAACATATTATATAACATTCATTAAAATTTTTTTAAAAATTTAAAAATTATTTCAACCCAGAGCTGGAGAGAGGTCTCAGCAGTTAAGAGCACTTGCTGCTCTTCCTGAGGACGTGAGTTCAGTTTCCAGCACCCATATTGGGCAGCCCACAACGGCCTGTAACTCCAGCTCCAGGGGATTTGATGGCCTCTTCTGGCTTCTGTAGGCACCTACACACATGTGGTATGCACACACACACACACACACACACACACACACACACAATCTATAAAAATAAATCTTTAAAAATGTCATCCCAGTCCCAGAACTCAGGAAGTGAAGGCAGAGGGATCAGAAGTTTAAGGATATTCTTGCCTATGTAACCAGTTCAAGGCTAGCCTGGCCTACATGAGATTCAGTCTCACAAAGAAAAAAAGAAAGAAAGAAAATATTTCATCTTAAAGCTCCTGTGACCATTTACAATTCCTAAGGTTTTATCCCAACACACGCCAGACTATGTCATGTCTAGGCATGGCCCAAGTTTCTTGCTGTATGAGTCTGGGTTGTATATGTTATAGTCACTAGGATCTGGGTTTCAGTTACTCCAATTTTAGTTTTCCTCGATTTCCATTTAAAGATTGCAATTTCTTTTCCATGATTGTTAGTTATATGAAATAAGGGGATAGTGTTTGGCATAAAGTGTTTGGCATAAAATTACTTTGAAACAAAATATCTTTACAGCTCACCTCTCTTCTTTTGAAATCAGAGTCTGTTTGTGTTACCCAAGCTAACCTCAAACTCCTGGGTTCAACAAATTGTCTATCTTCAGACTTTTGAGCAGCTGAGCTACAGGTGTGGGAATCTGTGCCTGGCTGAAAAAACAAACCAAGTCCATTTCAGATGCTCATGGCAAGTTGTTTTTTGCCCTTCACTGTCATGGTTGTAAAAAGTACCTGCTAGAGTCTACAAATGGTATCTTTCTCACTTGATGGGCAGAGCAGATTTCTGTGAGCAGTTCACTGGTTTCTTGCTACTCTGCAGTGGTGATCACAAGAGGTATAAGTGCAAGTGATTCTTAGATGTTGAAGCAGGTGTAATAAACCGGAACACCCAAGCGAGCAGAGTTAGGCGGTGACTACTGACTGCACCAGCACTGTTGCCCTTCAGGAGCAGCAGAGGGAGGTTAACTGGAGGTTCCTAGGAAGGGGGAGGTGTGGTAGGAGTTACTGGTAGAAACACGTAGACAGTACAGCCAAACAAATTCAAACAACACTGACAAGTGGGATGTGGCTTGCCAGTGACTGGGAACATTCTGTGGTTTTTCTTTCAGATGCGAATTGGACTGCATTCTGGGTCAGTTTTTGCTGGAGTTGTTGGAGTTAAAATGCCCCGATACTGTCTGTTCGGAAACAACGTTACCCTGGCTAACAAATTTGAGTCCTGCAGTGTGCCACGGAAAATCAATGTCAGCCCTACAACTTACAGGTACTAAGTGCATTAAGCACCTTGAAGTATATGTTTTTCATTTCTACACAGTTGTCACTTTTTTATATTCTGTTCTCCATAGCTGTTTTCTTCATAGGTAATCTTATAGGAAAATGAGACATAATAACTTTTATCATCTTCACTTTAACTTGTTCTTAAAGCTTTTGTTACCCCCAGGAGGTAATTGCAGCAAGGCAGTAATTCTTCACAGACACGACTTCCTCCTCCATAATTTTTCATTAGGAACATGTATCAGCGCTCTCATATATCAGTGCATATTCTGACACTAATGGGTGTACTGCAGTACAGTTCCAGCAGTAGCCACTCAGAATTAGCATAATTATAACCACACCTGATAGGGGCCAGTGCCCAACAAGACTGCCTTTAATCAGATGTTAGCCATTCCTCTGGGTCTTAGGGCTACCAGTCCTGGCCAACTAACTGCAAATGTGGGAGCTCTATTCCCTCAAGTCAGACAGTCATCTAGAATTATGTCAAATGCAGGCAAGTGTTACACTGACCAGTACTACAGTTTAATCAGAAGGAATACAAATCAGGCAGCCAAATGAAAAAGCAGATAGGCTGAGGTCTGAGTGGGCCCAAGTGTAGTTCCCATGCCTCTGCCTATGAAATCTGGGCATGTCACTGTCTCCCCCATCAATTGAGTCATAATCAAAAATCTCTACTCTTTTAAGGGATAGTTCCTGGACCCCTACTTTCCTTATGTAAGGGGGACAGCTTAGCTCATGGTTGGTAATGGAACTCCATCTCCAGTCTTCTCCTACCCATCCCCCATCATGCTGGCTCCAAACCCCAACCCTCTCCTAACCTGGTGATGTTTCTGGAATGCTGGTCCCATTCTGAGTCATCTCATTAGCATAAACTCACATGCAACCCAAAGGCTCATAGAAAACAACAGCTCAGGAAACTTCTAAGAGTTTTTGATGGTCCCTCTGAGCAATCAATATCCCTGTTTTGGAACAGTAAGGATGATAGGAGAGAGCTCAGCAGAGGAAAACTGTCAGATGTCAGATCATTCAACAGTTTCCAGTTTGCAGCCTTGGGGCACAACAGCAAACAAGGACATAAGAGAGGAGCCGTGCGCTTTCTAGGGTCCAGATGACTTCTGTGTCAGGCCTGATCACACAGGCTGAAATCCCAGGTACCTGGGAAACTGAGGCATGAGGATTTCAAATTTGAGGCAAGCCCAGGCTACAGAATGAGTTAAGACCAGCTTGGACATTAATGAGACCCTGTCTCAAAGTAAAGCGTATGAGGAGGCCTTGGAAACAGGAGTACAGTGCTGGCCTCGCATGCATGATTCAGTCCTGGTACCGCAAAGGAAGAAAACAGGATCTCTCTCTATTTCCTTGACAACACAGTTAGCAACCTGAGCCAATAACTATTTCCATTGTGGTATCACTTACCCACACTTAACCAGAAAATAAGCCACTCCACGATTATCTGTCCTGTAAATTTTGTCGGTGGCTGAATTACACCAAACAGGTTTCCTAGTCCCAACGATAAGTTTTTTGGAGCAAATTTTTCTCCTGGAAGCACCAACAGCATTCAGCCCAGACTGAGTCCATACATACCCTTGCTGTGTACTTAGTGGTAAGAGGGGAGCCGCCCCACCCTCATGCTGTAGATTCTCCCAGGGTGCCCCCGACAAGGTGCCCTGTCTGGCTTTTTTCCCTGCAGCAGGGGTCAGCTCCCCTGCCCTTGTTTGAAGAATTTTGCTATTTCCTGTCATTTTTTTCAAGGACTTTGCTGCTTAAAAATAACTGTTTTCTCTCCATGATCCATTTCTCTTAGATGAAATGATTACTCAGATATTGGACATATACTATTTAATCTCTTAAAACCATAAAAGCTTCCTTATTTCCAAGTCAGTTTCCCACTGCCACCTTATATTTCTGCCCCTTGAAACAGCGTCTGGAAGGAGCTGTCAAGATTCGCATCACCATACTTTCTGTAGCCTCTTATGTGTTCTTTATCTCACTCCCATCAGGATTTGTCCCTGTCACTCTGATAAAGAAGTCCTTGTCCTGAGCACTCGGTGACACTGAGGTCAGCTCTCTCTTCTCCACTCTTACCTCACAGCAGCCCTGGAACAAACTCAGGGGTGGAGCTGGGCAGGACTTCCACCCTGTGGTTTCTTCTATAGTTTCCTGAGGCCACAGCTCTTGGTTTCCATGGATATACCAGCTCACTCTCCCACTTCTACTCCTTCCCCAGCAAACCTTTTAGGGTCATTTTGCCAGTCCTCTGTCCGTTTTCTCCTGTTTCTGAACTTGTATAAACAACTCTCTTGAACAGTGATGGGTGTCTATAGCCCCAGCTCCTCTGGAAGCTGAGAGTGGAGGATCTAGGATCCAAGAGTTCAAGACCAGCCTGGGTGACACAACAAAACTCAATCTCAAATAAAAAGTGGTTGCTTTAACTTTACAAGTAAATGTTTATGTCTCTGGGTTTTTAAGCCTGTAGCCTCTTCCATCATTCTCCACATAGCTCCGGTCACATATCCCACCCCACACTTTCTCGCTGATGACTGACATAATAAAATGATCTTGATTGATTTTCCTGGTCAAACCTGCTTTGTGCACAGCCAACCTTAGCTAATAATGTTGCAATAATGTCAAAATGTCCATACATAGGAGGAGTGATTGCACACTCCTGTAACCCTAGTTCGTTTGAGAAATAGAGACAGGAGGGTCAGGAGTTCAAGCTAGTAATGCCTACATGGTGAGTTCAAGGACAGCCTGTTTAAAAGAAAGAAGGAAAAGACCCTACCTTGTACTTCGTTGCTCAGATGAGAAACTTCAGTGAGCTTTGCTCCGCTCCTTCTTACAGCTCAGACAGTTACATCCCCAAAGCACATTTCCTCACCTCCTTCAGGGTTACCAGCTAAACGACCCTCATCTCCGTCTCAACAGACACAAACTTCCTGCTCCCCATTTCTGGCTCTTCCTCTTAATTTGTGTAGACAAATATTGTACTTCTCTTTTTGAGAAATAATTTTATTCCTACACAAGAATCACTAGATATTACCTAGAGACTAAGCAATAGTTAACATGCTTTATTTAAGCAAGAAATAGGTACGTGAAATACATTTAACAACATTTAAAAATTCTTCTGTTTAGAGGTACTTCAATAGGAAAACATAAAATGTAATGAATGTAATTTAAATTTCAATTGTGCCCATGCTGGGTGAAATTTAATTGACAATAGGTACATAATTTTAGTTTTACTTGAATTCAGGACAGTAATACTATTCGTAGGTGGTTTACAACTACCAATGATAATTATTTCTTTAAAG